TGCCCCGCTCCTGTGCCGGGTAAGTCCACTACGGGCTCACCATAGCCCGTGCTACTTGCAACATTTGGTTGCTTATAGCTGCACCAAATAAAACAACCCCGTGGGTTACTAAGCGCCGGCATACACTTTGCCTGATGCTCGAGCTACTTACTTTGGTTTGGTTCCATGACGTTCTCTCTGATCGTTCCCTCCCTTGCCTTATTAACCCATCCCCCTGCGCCCTTCCCTCTCCCTTTCCCATGCTTCCTTACCTCCCTTGCTGTTCCTCCCTCTCAATCTCCCTGCCAGGGAGTCCTCCCTCGTCCCTGGAGTCCCTATGCTTGCCCCTATCCAGGGGTGAGGATCCAGCATATCCCCTTGTTTCCCTGGTCCCTAGAACAGCTGCTCCTAGACCACAGCATAATCACCTTTCAGTACGTTAAATCTACGGGCTCACTCCTGTGCCAGGTAAGTCCACTACGGGCTCACCATAGCCCGTGCTACTTGCCCCGCTCCTGTGCCAGGTAAGTCCACTACGGGCCCGTGCTACTTGGAACTTCTTGTTCCAAGTAGCGAATCTTTAACAACAACAATTCAGTACGTTAATGAGGTTCCTGAGGTACAATATTGTTCCGAAGGTGAGATTAGGGAGCCGGTCGGCCGAGCGGACAGCACTGTGGATCTGGGTTCGATCCCAGGCGCTGGCGAGAAACAATGGGCAGAGTTTCTTTCATCCTATGCCCCTGTTAGCTAGCAGTAAAATAGGTACCTGGGTGCTAGTCAGCTGTCACGGGCTGCTTCCTGGGGGTGGAGGCCTGGTCGTGGACCGGGCCGCCGGGACACTAAAAAAGCCCCGAAATCATCTTAAGATAACCTCAAGATAACGTGTTCGTATAACCCTCTTGCTAATAAATTTTCTAAGTAGACGACATTTTTAATTTAATTTTTTTGTAATGTTTGTAATGTAAAAATTTTTTTATTTTTTTTTGTTGTGTGAAGAAAAATGTTTTAATATTACTTAGGAAATGGTAAAAACCTTAATTTAATTTCATGTCGTTGCACAACTTGTACCCACAAGTTGTGCTTGTCCCAGACACACGACTGTTCTCAAGGACTCGTTCATCAATTGTTGACCAGACCACACACTAGAAATTGAAGAGACGACGACGTTTCGGTCCGTCCTGGACCATTCTCAAGTCGATTGTGTCGTTCATCAATTATTTGCGCTGTGTAATAAAAAGCTACGTTTTCTGACTCTAAATGAAAATTGTTATATATATATAGTTTTATGTATAATTTGTTATAGATTACGTTATGTGTTTCGGTTCTGTGGGTCGTTATTAGGACAATGTGTTGACGACGGACTATTCAACGCCACATAGCGGTCACAGATTTTACAGTGAATAGCACAGGGTGTTATTCACTGTAAATATTCATTGTGAATCCTCATTGTCAACAGGTGTGTCTGTGATATTTAGCGAAATTGCTTTATGTAAAAGAAAATGTTGACCAAGCTACACACTAGAAAGTGAAGGGACGACGACGTTTCGGTCCGTCCTGGACCATTCTTAAGTCATCGGCAAAAGAAAATGTATTTTTTTTGTATTAATTACACAACAAGGAAGAATGGAAGACTGTAGTTTGGATAAGCATGATTTTTGTTTCTTTGCACAGGTGGGATTAAGAGTAGAGGAATTCAGGACTCTTTTATCCTATTCTGGATTCTATTAGATGGCTTACGGCTGTCCATCCCCATACCTCATGGTAAGCTTTATTCTATAAGTGTTCCTTGCAACACGATCCGCCAATTGGTTTATAACCAGGTGCGCAATTATAGTGAACAGGGGTAAAAGTGTGCCCAGTCAATCATCCCTGGCCAGGGCTCGAACACAGGTGGAATAGGTCGCAGGGCGAGTGCACTAACACTAATTTAAAAGGCACTTGAGGACGTATCGCCTTTTTTTAAATAAGTTCCAGTTACATGCATCAAAGAATCCGAATGTAAAAAATTTAACTCATTCGAGTCTCATTATATAAGTTTCAAGTTGGTGTCGGTTTCAATGCTATATATTCTTGAAGTCACGGATTCAGTTTCTAAAAAAAGGTTTCTAATGTATTATGCTCGGGTTACTATTTTTGGCCAGTCAAAAATGAAACCTAATTCAGTCAGTCAGTCAACGTAATAGTTACGTGAGATAAAACCTACAGCATAGATTTGGCCGCGCAAAAAATATCGATTTCTGTAGATTCTATAGTCAGTGTTTAATATCTGTGTCCCTTGCTAATTGTACTGCAACTAAAATTTTTTAATTTTGTGTCGCATGTAGGATTTACAGCTGCACGCGTCGGTAGAGTATATTCTCTCTCTCTCTCTCTCTCTCTCTCTCTCTCTCTCTCTCTCTCTCTCTCTCTCTCTCTCTCCCTCTCCCTCTCCCTCTCTCTCTCTCTCTCTCTCTCTCTCTCTCTGTCTCTCTCTCTCTCTCTCTCTCTCTCTCTCTCTCGTCTCTCTCTCTCTCTCTCTCTCAGCATCACCTGACCCGTTGCATCGTCCCCAAACTCATTATGGTCACCATGCCAAGCGTTCACCTTTAACGTTACTTAAAAATTCTCGACTTCAATTTTGATATGGCGACTTTCAATGGATGGAACATGATACTGTCTTAAACACACACACACACACACACACACACACACACACACACACACACACACACACAATGTGTTTGTTAATTTGTGTGTGTATGTGTGTGTGTGTGTGTGTGTGTGTGTGTGTGTGTGTGTGGTGTGTGTGTGTGTGTGTGTGTGTGTGTGTGTGTAATTACCTAAGTGTAATTACCTAAGTGTAGTTACAGGATGAGAGCTACGCCCGTGGTGTCCCGTCTTCCCAGCACTCTTTGTCATATAACGCTTTGAAGCTACTGAAAGTGTGTGTGTGTGTGTGTGTGTGTGGAGCATAGGGGAAAGGAGAGGGTCGAAAAAGGCAAAAATATATGTCAAATGTTCTATAATTCCCTTTACCATAATCTTGCATTTCCTCACAGCTCCACACGCCTACAACATCACCACACTGGTACAATGATAACCAACAACAGCGCCACTCACCCCATGGCGGCCGACAGCAAAACTATCAACACTGCATTTTTTTTTTTTTTTGCCACGGGGGGGGGGGGGAATTATGAATCTGAATCAACTAGGCCAATTTTAAATCTTCGTAAAAAAAAATCCAATTACGAAGACATCCTTTTGATATTTCAATCATGACTCCTGATTTAGAAACAAAAAAATGAATTATTATTATTTTCTAGCTACTGTTCTCTCCACGGAGCAGTGGAACACTGAGGGCAGTACCGCTCCGTGTCTAGATGCCTTCGTGTCTAGAACATTATTCTGACACTGGGGGAGCTCAGTCAGTGACGGAGATTCTCAGCACTGGCATACGGTGTCAAGGATACTGTGTTATACTGTGATATTAACCGTTGCACGATGAGCAGTGGAGGGGGGGAAAGGGTTGGAGATGCAGGGGTAGAGAGGGGGTAGATGGGTAGAGAGGTAGAGAGGGGGTAGAGGGGTAGAGAGGGGGTAGAGGGGTTGATGGGTAGAGGGGGGTAGTAGAGGGGTTGATGTGGGGAGAGGGAATAGTGTGGACGGCTGCAGAACGTGAAGCCTGAGCAGGAGCTGAAGAAATCAGGTCATGTGTGTGTGCTCTGGAAGGATTACCCTGAACGCTGCCTGGGGGGCCTCCAGCTCCCACCAGAGAGGAGAGAATGTTGTTGCTGTTTTAGATTCAGCTACTGGGAACAGAAAGTTCCAAGCAGCTCGGGCTATGGTGAGCCCGTAGTGGACTTGAGAGAAGAGGACAGGTCACGTGGTGAGAGACGAGAGGGCCGGGGTACAGGAGAAGGATGAGGATGAGGATGAGGATGAGGATGAGAATGAGGAGGAGGATGAGGGAGAAGTAAACAGAAACCTTATACTGTGTATGAGGAGTAAGGGAACTGTAGTGTCTGGGGACATGAGAGCCTCACCGTGGTTGTATATCTGGGCATAACTCACAGACTCAAGAAACAACTTTAAAGACGATGGTAAACCTTTCAAACGATTCTATACAACATTTGCTAGACTCTCAACGTCTCGTCTTGAACCTAATAAGTTTCCTCAACGCTCAAATAATACAACTAGAAACGATCCTATATTGGAACAATGAGGATAATTTGTGTTTCCAGATGTACAATAATCACCTTCATGGGGGGAAGAATTTTAACTGCCATATATGAAGCCATTGTAAACCTTTTGTATTCAGATCACGAGAAAGATAATCTGTAGCATATCTGAGTGGCGTATCTTAGCCCACCTGGTCGGCGACCGGGCCGCGGGGACGCTAAGCCCCGGAAACACTTGAAGGTAACTTCAAGTTATACTATTTGATGCTGTCAAGAGGCCGGCAAGTGTTGGTAAAGCACTAACGTCAACATGTCTGACAACTCACTGTGTAGAAGTGCTGCCCTTATCAAATTTAAAGTTACTTTCTAACTTTCTAACTTTAGTTTGAAATCACTTTCTAACTGCCCTCTGTCACGCGAGTATCACACACAATCCCATCACTCAAACACAATATACAATCATCGCTTCAACATCATACACACACACACACCCTAAACATCAAACACACCAGTAGCAAAAACATCGCCATCGATGAAAAAAAATGATTGATGTATTCCCCAGCGTTAATCAAATCAGAAGTGCTTACCAAAGTTCCAGAAAAGGCACTTTGCTGGCCACCCCCCCGGTACGCCATTCACACTGACAGATTCACACTGACAGATTCACACTGACAGATTCACACTGACAGATTCACACTGACAGATTCACACTGACAGATTCACACTGACAGATCCCGAAGCTGATTAGAGCTTGACTGTACAAATGACTAAGCTCTACACTACACTGAATCAGCTAGATTGACGTACCTGGAAGAGCAGCAGCCATTACGTCTCGCCAGGACGGGAGAAGGAGGAGACGCAGAAAGAGGAGATAGAAGAGCCTGGCCATCCGGAGATGTGGGAACATGCTTGTAGCCGGCCAGCTCGCGTGAAAATGATCCATCCGGAGCCTGGTCATCTGTGGTTGATCTGGCTCGTCTCTCTACGCTCCTCCACGCTCCTCTACGCTCCTCCACCTGCTAATAACAAATGATATTCACGTGAAAACAATGACTGAAAGTAAATATGTAGCTTACATAAATAAAATTCTCAAAGCGCATAAATAACGACTCGTTCAAAGCGGAATATTACCTCAAAAATAACGTAGCCCACTCAGCCATGTAAGGCATAAGAGAAAAAATGCATAAAGAGTCGGGGAAAAAAAATTACAGGACGTATCCATATCCAATTGGATAAAAAAACAAGAACATTGCAGCTTGCCAAAAACATACAAAAAATAGAAAAAAAACAAAAATTTTTGTTTTTAATGGAACTATAGCAACACCGGGAACATTGTAGAATATTTTTAAATGCGATTTTTAATTCACTATGACCTCTTTTAGCCTGGTTCCGTTGGTTGAGTTATGTGATGTTTTCACATAAGTGAATAAGGAATTAAGATTTTCACATAAGTGCATAAGGGATTAAGATTTTCACATAAGTGCATAAGGGATTAAGATTTTCACATAAGTGCATAAGGGATTAAGATTTTCACATAAGTGCATAAGGGATTAAGATTTTCACATAAGTGCATAAGGGATTAAGATTTTCACATAAATGCATAAGGGATTAAGATTTTCACATAAGTGCATAAGGGATTAAGATTTTCACATAAGTGCATAAGGGATTAAGATTTTCACATAAGTGCATAAGGGATTAAGATTTTCACATAAGTGCATAAGGGATTAAGATTTTCACATAAGTGCATAAGGGATTAAGATTTTCACATAAGTGCATAAGGGATTAAGATTTTCACATAAGTGCATAAGGGATTAAGATTTTCACATAAGTGCATAAGGGATTAAGATTTTCACATAAGGGATTAAGACACGTATATTACACGAAGGCTTAGGACAGGAACATCTGATTGGTAAACATCTGATTGATGTAGAGTTTCACATCCCCACAAGACATCAAGGCCCTCAAAAAAGGGATATTTCGACCCATAACACTGCCTCAATCTTGCTCATCAATACTATCTTTTATCTATAGGAACTTTGAAGGCAGTGCGAATGAAGAGGTTAGTTCCTTCGCTACCGTGCCACAGACAGGATAGAAGATATTGACGTTTCTGTCCATCCTGGAACATTATGAAGACGTTATTGTCAGTTACTGTCTATTTCGATATCGTGTTCACCCACCCAAACTGATTTATAACTTTTCTGTAGCTTTTATTTTCAAGACTGACAACAAATTTACATCTGTCAATTTCCGGAGGCTGTTGATCTCCTCGATCTCCGAAGATGATGCTAGAAACTAATATGACGAGAGATATGTAAACTGGAATTATGAATCTTTATCTGTCAATATTATACATATGCTTTATATAACATATGCACATATAAAGTAAAGAGTCCGATAAGACCGTAAGAATAAAGTCAACTGCAGTCTTATTGGTCCATACGAGGCAGCTCCTATTTGTATCCACCTAGACTTATCCATATATATATGTCTAACCTACGCTTGAAACAATCTAGCTATGCTACGTCTGATATGTTACCAAATGATTTGTATCATAAATCTACAAGTCGATCACCAAAGCGGATGGTATTCCCAACAAACCACTGAAGTAACAGTTGCCAATCAGAAAGAAAGAAAAAACCAAACAAGAAAAGAAAAAAGAAAGCTAGAAAGAAGAAATATAGCAATAAAAAAAGCTATCGAGAAAAGAGAAAGCGAGAAAGATAACAAGGAAAATGAAAAAGACAAAGATAATATAGATCATTTGTTGATTGAGACTCAGATTTTGTCAACAAGAATAAGGAGATTTTCTCATGTGTTGACAGCTTCTTGAACCACATGTGAAGACCGTGAGAGTCTCTCTCTCTCTACTTCGCTCTGATTCAGTATCTGGTTGAGCCGTAAACAGACCGCCGTCTTCTCGGCCAGGAAAGAAAGGAACATTAATGTCTCTTGAGACGTCCATTCCCACTGTGGGTGAGTTTGTGAGGGCAGAGCTTGAGAGAATTAATGAGGAACAGAGACAGATACACACACACACACACACACACACACACACACACACACACACACACACACACACACACAGACTGTCTTTATCTACCCTATCAATTCCCTTCAGAATCTTGAATGTGGTGATCATGTCCCCCCTTACTCTTCTGTCTCACTTCGCTGGAAGACAGAAGAGTAAGGGGGGACATGATCACCACATTCAAGATTCTGAAGGGAATTGATAGGGTAGATAAAGACAGTCTATTTAACACAAGGGGAACACGCACAAGGGGACACAGGTGGAAACTGAGTGCCCAAATGAGCCACAGAGATATTAGAAAGAACTTTTTTAGTGTCAGAGTGGTTGACAAATAGAATGTATTAGGGGGTGATGTGGTGGAGGCTGACTCCATACACAGTTTCAAGTGTAGATATGATAGAGCCCAATAGGCTCAGGAATCTGTACACCTGTTGATTGACGGTTGAGAGGCGGGACCAAAGAGCCAGAGCTCAACCCCCGCAAACACAACTAGGTGAGTACACACACACACACACACACCCACACACACACACACACACACACACACACACACACACACACACACACACACACACACACACACACACACACACACACACACACACACACACACACACACACACGCACACACACACACACACACACACGCACACACACACACACACACACACACACACACACGCAAAGCAGAACGTGGAATGAATATCAGGACAAGGAGCTGGGATATGAGGACACGAAGTTAGAAAAAAAAAGCTGTGGAAAGCAAACCTACTTTACTCCTAAACTAAAGAGTATACTCACTATATCTTCACCGAGAAATGGGGGTATATCTCTCGCTTTATACATCCTCTGTAAACACAAGTTCTGTTGGGCTTAAGGCCAATGAAACTCAGGAGAGTTACTGCGGCTTGAAAAGTAATTACTTCCAACCAGCAAGAATGCCACAGTCCTGAACACTCTCTAGGACTGCGGGAAACTCTCAGTGTATATTCACCGAGAAGCAGAGTATAATTTCAAGTGAATATACACTCTCGTGTATTACACAATATTTATAAAAAAAAATACCAGAAGCGCATCAAAATTTTAATATATTGAATACAAGTAACTACTCAAGACACTAAAAAAATACAATAGATGATAAATGTGAATTTATTCTAGGGAGAGAGAGAGTATGCTCGTTAATATGTTCGTTAACCCACACCACTAAACTCCACGTTTAATAATTAAAAACATTGAACGAGACTCAGAACCGAACGCTCGAATTTTTCTCAAACATTGATTCGTTGTCTTCCTGTGTTCGAATCCCCACTATGATAAATGCTTTACCCCCCACATAGCTATATAGTTGCTTGACGCTTTCTCCTCATAGCTCCCTTCCCTGTACTCCACGTATAGTAAATACAATCATTTACTGACAGAACTTATATACCAAATATAGCCTATATTATTTTCAACTTATATACGAAGCTGTAATATGAAATAATACTATATGTTAAAATGCTGGTTTATAAGTACTCAGTAAGATAAAATGGCTGAGTACGTCTATGGGGTCACACGCAGCGTTGGTGAGAAGAGTGTGGGGGAGAGGGTGTCATTCTGTGAGGCCAAACAAGCCAATTGCCCTCCAAGGGAGTTGTTAAATTATTAGGGGGTGTTACTAATGTGCAATACCATATGTCTCCTCCATTTATGTACTCTATGGCTGTATAATATAGTGCAAGTAATGTTCCTGTATCATCTGTGTCCACAGGGACACAGATGGAGATATCGAGCCACCTGAACTTTTCATTCAGGTGGAATGCAGCGAGTACCATACACTCAAGTTGTTTGACCACAATAACACACACACACACACACACACACACACACACACACACACACACACACACACACACACACACACACAGAAACAAACACACACACAGGCAACGTTAGTTCCCAAGCTTGTAAAATGTTTCCTACGGTAGCCACAAAGTTCCCACGGTGGGCTCGTCCATCGTCTGACGCAGGGACTCAGAAACCCAAGGACCTAGAGACCCAAAGACCCAAGGACCCAAAGACCCAAAGACCATCCCTACACCACAGTCCCACAGCCGGCTATACCATTAATGCTTCGCGAATATCATACCCCCTGACTTCCTACTCTCAGAAATTATTAAGCAAACTCCTGTTCATCAGGACTTTTTAATACGATACTACCAGTTAAATATAATAAAGATATCCTGGTTATTAAAATTATGCAGTGTTATCTGTGATATATTTATGAAATTTTGATGGTTTTGGGACAGTCAGTGGTTGATATTTTAACATGTTTTCTCCAGCCAATAAAAATTCGTTCTTTACCGACGTGTTCAGCTTGGAGGGAACTGTTCTTTATTGGTAATTTTTAACTTAGAGGGATTTGTTGTTTTATGATAATGTTCGCTATTCTTCATCAATAAAGTTTAGTAAAGAGAGCTATGTTCTTCAACAACAAAGTTCAGCAAAGTTCTTCATCAACATTTCCTCTAATACATCTCAGACAGTTTTCTCTTCTAAGGACAGATATCCTACTGAGAAAACTTGTGACCTATTGCTGAAGTACCTCTTGAAAATCTTCCTTAATAGTGGGGACATGTTTACTACCTCTCTGATCAAAGCTGCTTCAATTCCCAAAGACAGTTTTAAAGTCTTAACCTTTATAATCCTTAACGAGAAGGCTTGTGACGGAAATCTCTCCTGATCTATGGTATATAAACTCCAATACACCATTTCACTGAGCCATTTTTTATTAATGAGAATTTTTGGTTGTTGGAGAGAGAGACAGAGACTTGTATTTTACATGTCTTAATTCAGTCTCCCCGAAAGGTCAAGTAAAATGGTTGTTTTGTGTGTGTGTACTCACGTAGTTGTGCATGCGGTGGTTGAGCTCTGGCTCTTTGGTCCCGCTTCTCAACCGTCAGTCAATAGGTGTACTGGTTCCTGAGCCTACTAGGGTCCATTATATCT